AAAAATGGAAAATGAAACACACACACACACACACACACACACACTGACACACACACATGCAGGCAGAGTTGAAAGTGACCTGATAAGGGAGATGAGTCTGGCTGCGGGGATTATTCGTTATTTATCATAGTTTTAGTCTAATTTCCTGCAATTATTAAACGATTTAATAAATAAAATGGAGAAGCTTTTGAACGTGGGTCGGTAGTAATTTGTAATCAAGATTTGGCTGTACTCGCTTTCTTTCGATATGTCGGTTGACAAATGGGAGACGAAACGTGGATGTGATCCTCTTCGCCTCCGATGCTAGGATACTGTTAGTACGATGAACGGTGCCAAATTAATACATGGGTAGATCAAATGAGTACTCCTTAAATTCAATCTATATCTATTGATTTTGTGTGAATGAATGACTCATATTAATCAATTAAAAAATATATTAATTAAATAATAAAAAATATTAGTCAGTATATTAAAATTAATTATATAATAAATAAAATAATTTATTTTCTTTGGCCGGCGATGAACGCCAACCGTTGACTGATCAACAACGCCGAGAACCTCATTTTCCGGCCAGTGTGCTCGGTCAGGAGCTCTTCGTCGGTGAAGGAGGGATTGGAAAATTTTTTAGCCAGTTTGACATTTGTCTTCTCCGGCTAACGCGGCGTGGTCGTCGCTGCAAAGATGTGGTCGTCTTCTCCGGCCAGCTCGACGTGGTCGTCTTCTCACGTTCGACGAAGAAGTCCGACACGCACGTCCGACTAAAAAAAATTTCAGTCTTCTCGCGCAATCACAGTCGGAGCAGTCATGTCCGAGTCCGAGTCTCCGACCATCTCTCCTTTAAACAGGAGGGCCATCACTGGCCGATGAGAGATGCATTATTCAGGCTTCAATCGGACGCACAAGAGCGCTATCACTGGTCGACTGGATTGTTCAATTTGTGAATAATATTTTGGGGATTTTGGGCTAAGACACGTTTTTTGAAAATTAGATAAATTTTAGGGGTTTAATTGCAATTTTAGAAACTTATAAATTATTGCAATTTGATTGTTGGGAGTCAATATGTAATTTATTTAAAGTATGAATACCTGCACTATCACCTTTGGG